CAAGCTGGACCTGCATGTTGTCCACCGTGTTGGCAAGCAGCTCGTGCTGTTGTTCCATGTGTTGGATGCGGGTCGTGGCGGCATCTGACAGTTTAGGGGCCGTAGCGAAGCGTTCGCCGAGGGTGTTCGGTTCGCGCGATGCCACGCTGAATTCATCCTCTGATGAGAGGATCTCGACGTCGCCTGGTACCTCGGCGGCTGCGTCAGCGTGCCCTTCCGTGTGGCCCCCACCTTCGGCCGCCCCCGTGCCAGGTTGCGGGTCATGCCCGTCCCCACCTGGTCCTTGGACGGCCGTCTGCTCGGCAGCTCCATCCGTGCCGTGCGGGGGTGCAGAGGAGCTGCGGCCTGGGGCGCCGTGTGATCTTGCGTGCGGCGTGGCGTCGCGTTTCCCGCTGGAGGATCGGTGGCGCTTGGCTAAAGGCTCCTCCTTGGGGATCGGGAGCGGTGCGACGCCCTTGCCTTTGGGCGTGGCAGTCATGAGGTCGTGGAGGTAGGGGCTCTGGGCCGCTTTGGTTAGGAGTGTGCCCGTGGCGGGGCTGAAGCCGCCACCACGGGCGGGCGGCGTCACAGGCTCTGTGATAGTGGTAGGGGTGACAATGGTAACGTTGTCCCTCTTCGGCACGACCTCAGCCAACGGGGCCTCGGTGATGCTCCACGGGATGGGGCACCCTGCGACCTGTACCGTATATGTGGGTGGGGGACGATGAGCGCGCACTAAGGCAAACTGCGCCGAAGTGGCTGGGTCCCAGGCGGTGTGGTAGACCTCACAGTCCCATTTGACGGACGGGCCCGTGAGAGTCTTAGCAAGCTGGGTCAGCGTGGCATGGCGTGCCGCAATGCCCGTGATGCGGTATCGCGTCTTGGCGAGGGTGGCTTCACAGCCACGGATGCTGACGGCAGCGGCCTTGGCGGCGTCTGACCCACGTGCAACACGGATCCCCAATAAGCCTGACTTGCCGTGCCTGACGACTCCTAGGGCTTTGAAGTCCACCGACTTCTGAAACGCCTCTGCCATCGTGATGGGCTGGTCCTCGGGGAACCACACGGTCTGGTACTTGTCTGCCGTGGGCTCGTCCGCACCTACGTTGCTGAGGTCGTAGGTGGCGCCGAGTTGCCCCGAACCCGCCAAGACCTTGTCAACTGCTTGAAGACTGACGCCGAAAGTGGCAGCCAGGGACCTTTTTCCGACGCCAGATCCGTACCTGCCTAGACTTTTGCAGGGTTCGAGGATAGTGACGGCTTTAAAGTTGCCGTGGAAAAGGGCCTTGAAGGTGTCCTGAAGCTGACTGTCGAGCTCCTGGCGGCGAGCGTCTTTCTTAGACTCCCTGTGCTTTTGGTTTTGGCGCGCCTTGTCCTGTGGAGCGGAATCCCCTCGGAAAGGACCCTTGGCGCGTGGACCACCGTTCACGGGGGCGCCTCCCGAAAACTGATCCTCGAAGGCCTGATGCATGGAGGGGACTGCGGCGATGGCTTCGGTTTCATGTATGGTCACCCGAATCCAGCATACGTGGTCGGCAGGATCAATGGTGGCGACGGCTACTTTTTCCGTGCAGGCGACTTCCTTGGTGCCCAGCTGGTACACGGTCACGGGGACGTGCGTGTGAACCACGTTGGGCGCCTTGGGGTGGCGCTTCAGCACGGGGACGGCGAGCTCGGTGCCGACGTAGTTGTCGTTTTTTGGGCCCATGACAGCGATCGCGAGCTGACCCGTGGTACGCTTACCCTGCTCGAGATGGTGCTGCAGCAGCCGCTCGCCACTCTCGTAGTCGTGGAGGCTGATGCTGGGCTTGTACGTCTTGCCGTCGTCGAGTGATGTGGGTTCGGCCAGGACTGGGACCTTCCAGAAGGCCGGGTCCAAGGCAATAAATTTGGCGTCCGCAGCCTGAAGACGTGCGGACGCAGCTGGTGGATAGGATGTGTCACCACCATTGCGCTTAGGCTTGCTGCGCTGGTGGTGATCCAGCGTGTAGCTGATCTGGTTGGCGGCACACATGCGAATCAAGGCACTGCCGAGCTTCTTGGTGTTGGTCTTGTGCATGTCGTACGTGGCCTGCAGCTCGTCCGCGTTCAGCTCGGCGAGCCCGTTGTATGCGGCTGTGGGGCGGTCAGACCCCGCTTGCTTGAAGGCTGCAATGCAGTCCTGTTTGCGTTGGAGGAGGGATCCTTCAGCTGCAGGACGTGAGCTCGGCGGCTGCTTGGAAGAGCGACGGCGCTCCGGCTTGGCGGGGGCCATTGCGGCGGGCGCTCTGGTGGGAGGGAAGAGGTGACGCGAATCAGTAGGGTCCTGCTGGGACCCCTCCGGTCTCGCGAGGCCTGGGAGACTGGCTCCGAGGCGGGGCGCTTCGCGTCGCGGCTGCGGTCTGAGTGCAGGGCACTCTCGAGCCGAGACTGGAGGGAGAGGAGAGGAGAGGAGAGGAGAGGAGAGGAGAGGAGGGAGGGAGGGAGGGAGGGAGGGAGGGAGGAGGAGGATGAGGAAGAGGAGGAGGAGGAGGAGGAGGAGGAGGAGGAGGAGGAGGAGAAGGGAGAGCGATACGCTGTCTGCTTGCACGGCATAGCGTGTCGCCGGGGTCGCCGCGCAAGTAGTTTCGGACCGTATCTTGCGCCCCACTGTATACATAACGACGTGCGGCATTCTCTGTTCGTTTGGGGAGTACTTCGCCCCCTCGCGTTTGTCGAGCCTTCAATCGTCACACAGAGGCGGCTGCGCGGACTTGGTTAGCCGTCGCGGAGTTGATTGTCCTGCTTCACAGCGTGGGCCCCCAGAGGTCTAGATCCCCCGTGTTTTCATGGTTGATCGCCCCCGTGGCCACGTGAGGACCCCCCGGGACCGAAAACGGTCAAAACCTTCCAGAAGCCATGCTGGGAGTTGCCGAGGCGGCGCCCCGAAGCTGCGGTAGGTTCGCGCCGCATTGACGCAGCGGCGAGCCCCGCCCGGGATCTCCGGGTTGAGGGCCGACGATGGCTCGGACTCGACCGACATCGAGCGATCTGCGCTGTCGCGCAGACGCAGCCACTCGGGGTGGAACGGCCCGCGCGGGGCCACAAGCCAAAACCCTCGCGTAGCCACGACGCGAGCCTCCCGTGCGCGGCGACTACGACAGCCAGGAGCGGCCCTCTCCAGGGCAGGGCGGCGAGGGCGGCGAGCTGCCATCCGTATCGTCATATCTATCCCTATCCGCAGTGGCCTGGAATCCTTGGCGCCGCCAGCCTACGCATCCCCTCGAGGCGGCGATGGGTGCTGCGAAACCCGAGTTGAGAGGTCATGGACTGTGGGGCGCGGCTAAGGGCCAGGGCCGGTTTTTGGACCACTGTGACTTCTTGCGCACGTGCTGCGGCAATGCTTCCATATACTTTTGCATGGGCATCGTCAGTAAGCCAGTTTGGCTCAGAATAGCCCCGCAAGGGGCGAAACGTTAGCCCGATACAGACAAAAAGCTGCACCGACGTGCTTGGACCGTAATTACACCCATCAGAAGTCTTAACAACCAAACCTTGATTTTCATGAACTCCAGATCTCGTTCAAGAAAATCAATAATCTGCACTGGACCCTGGGCGTTTTTGTGGAGCCTCTTCTGTTCGTAGAATGCTCGTGCACAGCTGGACCTGGGCTACCGGTGAAGACAACGCCTGGTATGAAGCCCGCTTTCTGGGCGCAAAGCTCTCTCAGCCCTAAGCAGGGGTGCAGGTCACCCGCGGGGGCGCGAGGATTCGCCGTCTGGGCCAGAGCCGCTGCCCCTTCTCTGCGGGGGCGGCGCGGAGGGCACGCGGGCGCGAAGCTCACCGCGCGCCTCGCGCACCGCGGGGGCGCGAGGCGCGAAGTTTTTGTAGGACCCACGGACCGTCCGGCTGGATGGTCTTCACCCGATCGGGACAGGCCTACCGATGCCGAACGCAGGTGGCCAGGAGCGGAAGATCAGGCGATCGCAAACATGGATCAAGGGGGCATGGATTAGCGACGGGTCCCGCTTCCATGGGAAATCGCGGATCCCCGCCGCCAAACGGGGGCGGCACTGGCCGCATTTTGGGGAGGGCACTTCCCCCGATCCATGTGTGCGCGCGCTTCTCAGAAGCCCTGCCGCCTTCCGAGAGGTTTTTTTTTGTCTTCGGGGAAGGCGAGCTTCTCAGAAGGCCGGGGAACTTCCGAGCCTTCCGGGAAGGCGCGCCCCGTCTCCTTTCCCCCCTCGGGCGCGCCGCCTATGATTGTCTTCACCTGATCGGGTCAGGCCCACCGATGCCAAAAGCGGATGGTCAGGAGCGAAAAGAGGGACGTACGCGTGTACACGAATCCATGCTGGCTTCAAGAGTACGCCTTGCTTCAGCGTTCGCACATCACGCGGCTGGTCTCGCGGATGGGGGGCCGTGTTCCTGTACGCGGTTGGGCGCGTACGTCCTCTGTGGGTTCCCCAGATGGGTCATGGCGCCCACATCTCAGAGCGGATGTCGTCCGGAAAACAATGGGATGGGCCCGGATGGTCCTGGAGAATTTCGTTCCGGATTTCGAGGTGAACTTCGTGCGGATTCGTCTCTGGCCAGGACTGAGGACTGCAAGCATCCGCAGGACGTTCGCGTCGTGTTTCGCTCGCTGCCTCGGGGTCCTGCGTTGACAGACAGATCCATGCACGAATCCGCTGCAGCATGAGATGAGATGCGAGGGTACAATCCAGACGCTGAAATAAGGAGCACTTTGGGTTCGGAAGGGGCTCGATGTTCCCTAGATGCTTCCGTGGCCGTTTCTCTAGCGCTCGTCGTCCTCGCAGGCGCTTGTGGGGGCCACAAAGGGGCTTCGTTCCTTATTTGGCGTTCCTTCTTTCAGCAGCCCGACTGTAGGGAAAACCAGGAGGAGGAGGGAGGAGGAAGGAGGAGGAAGGAGGCGGAAGGAGGAGGAGGAGGAGGAAGGAGGAGGAGGGAGGAGGAGGAGGGCAAACCATCCAGCAGGCGTCTGCAGGGCGGGTGCAGCGGGGCGGCGAGGGCAGGGCGGGGCCCGGCCGCCCGCCCCCCAGGACGCGAGCAGCCGGCTGGCCAGCGGCGCCCAGCAGCACGTCGGCACCAGCAGTGCGCCCCTCGCGCCCGCGCGCCCGCGGGGGCTGCCGTCGGGCCTCCTGTTGGGGCGTGGCGATCGGGGGCGTCCAAGAGGGGGGCGATGCCAGGGCTCGTCTCGATTCCTGCGATTCGATGCGGTCCGACTTCGACGGCTTCCGGCTTCGATTCGCTTCGACTCGGGATGTCGATGTGGGCTCCGACTTCTCGTTGGAGGCATACTAATTAGCCTCCCGATTTTCCGCCGATTCGACTTGTCCCGACTCGGCTGCCGATTTCCGCCGATCCGATCCATTTCGATCGCCGATCCGGCTTATCGATTCGATTCTGGGCTCTCTTGGTGGTGCCTGGGCGGGGGGATGACTATCATGGCCAGGGCCATGGTGCCTCCCAGATAGGAGGAGGAGGAATCGGAATCGGAATCGGCCCCATCGCGGTGCGAAGAGTAATGGAACGACAACAAGCCAGACCCGAACTACGAGGACTTCGCTCGGTTCGAGGACTTACCCTGATCCTTGGGCCATAGCCCATCGGAAAACCTCTGAATGTACATCTTGCGAGTGTCGGTCAACACTTCGTCACAAGCCTTGGCCAGGGTTGGCCTCAGCTGCTGACTAGCGAACGAACCGCACTTCTTACAAATCCAACACTTCAGCGACACATGATAAACCATTTCGTGGGATTCGTGGACCCAGCCCCCACCGATATGTACCTGTCGACCCCTCGGCAGCCTATAAAGAACTGAATCAACTGACACAGGAGGGAAGCACGGGCTCCTTCGCCACAGAGTGGCGGCGTCGGCAGACGAACTACAAAAGCAACGCACACATTTCCTCGACGACTCGTCGAGGCTGTGGACGGTCTCAAACACCGAGACCGTGCACGGAGACGGGGGAGGAGGGGGCCGCTCCTGCCTTGAACTCGATGCACTGGGCCTCGGAGGAGCACACGAGATGGCCTCCAGCGTTGAACGGAGGAGACGCCTGCGGACGAGTGCAGCGTCGCTTTCGACCTGTGCGATTTTAGCTCGGACCACGATACTGACACGAGCTTCTGCTGCTGCCACGCGAGCAAACTCGTCAGCTGCTTGATTTCCCACGAACATCCACTCAGGCCGAGAAGACGCAACCACCAGGGAGGCCTCGAGGTGAGAGGGTATTTGCATGACAGTGACCAGTGAAATATCACGACCCTCGACAGCCTTGCCGATGAGCTTCCAGACTGCTTGGTTGGACCCCGACGGGGCCATATATAACTTATTGAACCACCCGTCGATAACCCCGCTGTTGTCGGTAATGTAGACCAGAGCCCCGTAAGAGAACTTGATGGCCAAAAGGAGTCCCCACAGCTCCCCGCACGGAACCGTTTGCACAAGACCTGGCAACGGGCCGAAAACAGCGTCACGGACCTCGGGCTGACTGAAACTCGCTAAGGTGCAGGCGGCGACGCCGACGCGCCTAAGCCGAGAATCACGGCTACCTTCGCCCCCGCTCGCGTCCCCGAAGACGACGATGGGATCCTCGACGGACCCTTGCCCCAGGCCCCCGCAACCATGGAAATCGCCACAAGCATGATAAACTCTCCAAGGCTCACCTAAAGAGGGAGGCGGAACTTTGGCCCAGGGAGCAGGAATGATTCCACGGAGCCAGAAGCAGGACTCAGAGTCCTGCCCAGAAATCGCTCTCGGGACCAGATGGTCCGACTCCCTATAAACTGAGCTGCCTGTATTACATGGACACGTCCATCCACGGTGCAGCGGGGTCTCTGGCTCCTCGCCGCAGCGCTGGCAGATCACGCTCGAGTCGGCCTTGGTTTCGTCCTTGACTCTGGACTTCGGCCAAGTACCGCCGACGGCGATGGCAAGACGTGTCTCTGCGAGCTTGGCCCCAAGCTTGGGCACGTCGCCGAGCGCTGTCAAAACACGCCTGTACGACAAGTTGTCGGCGCCGTGCTGCAGCCCCTCGCTGCAGAAATGCCGACTGGCTGTGACCCACTGCCGAGCGCGAACCGAATCTTCGAACTCCTGGATAAGTCCGCTAATATCTTCAGAACTCGATACAACCTCGTCGGGAAACGACCAAATTGCACCTGGTCCTTCATCATCGGGGGGCGTATGCCATTCGCTCGGAGAGATCGGGTCCCAACCGTACTCGAGAAGGTACGCCACTACTGCCGAAATGGGGCCCCGCACTGCTTGGGCTACCTGCCGCTGGGCAAGTTGCCGGAATTGTGAAACAACACGGGGCCAAGCCGCACGCACTGCTGGGCGAATACTAGGCTCCTGCATCCAAGTGCGCAGCCATAGCTGTAGACACTCCCTTGGAAGTTTGTACCCTGGATCGTGACCGTCGGCCCTGAGGTCCAACACCGTGGTAAGACACCTCCCGCGGGAACCAGAAGACAACGTATGCCCAAGACGCCGCCGACACTGCAGTCGAAATTCACCGAAAACTCCGTACACTTGATGCCCGTGCGTACCTGCCGCCTGTGCGCCAGCACGTTCGATCATACCAGTCCGAGCATATTTGCGAGAGGCTCGAGCGAAACGTCGAATGCGAGCGTTCATGACTTTGGCCTTCTGGCTGCGCTTGGTTCTGGTGGCTCTGGCAATGCGGCCAGCACCGAGATCCACTCCTAAAAGACATGCTTGTTTGCCATATTGCAACTTAAATCCCCGACAGCGAAGGCCAGCGACTATAGCCCTGCTGTCGGCGACGTTGGAGCAAAGGATGATGCTCTTCTCTGAGACAGGCAGACCGTGACCTTCCAGCTCTTGGCAAGTTGAAAGAATCCCACGGTGCAAGTTGGCGCATACCGCCTTCCTAGAACCTGCGTGGTGCTGGGTGAGATCGTCGATCCATATGCGGAACGACATGTCTGGCGTCGCCCTCGTCAGCTTCTGTAGGATAAAATAGACAAGGCATCGGCCAAAACGAGTGCCGCTCCGAATCCCCTGGATGATACTCTGCGACGCCTGGAAAGCCTCTGAATAGGACCCCAACTGAGCCACGGTACGAGGCGCCAAACACATCTGGAGCTCCAAGAACAGCACGACAGGAGGAAACCCCAGACGCAAAGCGGAGGCCGCCAGAGGGCCCCACTGCATCTCGTCATAGAAGCCCTTGATGTCGAGAAGGCCCTCACCGAAGGCCGTGCCTAGACGAAACATCGATTCATCCCGAAGAGCACGTGAAAAAAGCTCCTCGAAGTGCGGAATTCCCTGCGACGGCGGCGTCCCAGGCTGGCTCGCTGTCCTGTGACCGCGAGCGCACATTGTCCTCACGGGCAAGGGGCCAGGTCCTAGAGAACATAGACATGAGCCCAATCACCCTGTCACCCCCCGTTTTCTTCCCTAACAGCCTCCCTACCGCCAAAAGCGTTTGCCACGGCCAAGACAAGCAGTCCTCACAGGCATCAAAAAGAGCCGTGAGTTCGGCGAGCCCTGCTGGCGGCAATCGCTCCATGGCGAGGGGAGACATTTGATCCACCCCGAGTCCTGCTTTTGGTTTCGTAGTATGCAGGGCTCGCCGAACTCGCTCAGGCTCAAGTGGCTCGAGTTGTTCAACTCGCGCAGCCTCTCGAATACTGGCGCACATATCTCGCGCACGATCGAGGTCAAGAGGTTGTGGCCGCCACAAGGCTTGCCACTTCTTGGCCTTCTCGCCCACAATATGCAAAGGATGAAATAGCACCTGATTGTTGACCGCTAGCTCGTCGGGGACTGGGGGGGCCTTCTTGGGCGCCTTGTGAAGGATCCCTGGGGCCTCCGCGGTATTGATCCACTCGCGACATTCCCTTAGAGAGCATCCCAAGGCACGCCTTCTAGCCCTGCCTGTAACCCTCTTAGCCGTACTAGCCATTAAATTAAGCTCTTCCACAGATACGCTACTGGTCCCAAGAAGCCTGACCTGCCACTGGCTCCAAGACGAAGCATCCCCGTTCTCGGGACTGACCAGAGGAACGTGCACTGCTTCAGGCTGATCACTGGCACGAGCGGCACATGCGATAACTAACTGCTTCCGCTGAATGGGTCCGTTACCTCGGACACGGTGAAGATGCGGCCGACCTAGAACTGTCGCGAGGCGTCCCCACCACGAAGCCACTTGATCGTGTAGCGGCTGCTCTCTCACTCTAACTGATGCCTTGACTTCGGAAACAGTAAAAGACGGCCCCTGACTCCGAGAGACGGCCCCTGGAAAAGAAACTTGATGGTGCTGAACAATGGCCTGCTCCGAGGTCCGAACCCAAGACGAATGCATAGCCCCAAGGCGTCGTATGTGCGGACCTCCCACTGCATATGCGGCCGAGTTCGCTATGATGGGCCACACGTCCGACTGTTGAGACGACAGGGAGTACCCGACCTCGGCCCGACACGAGTCCCACAGGTCAGGAGGCACCTGGAAGGAGGGAGGGGAGGAAGCCGAACTACTAGCTGCCGAGGGGTCGGGGTCCGAAGCTGGGCCCCTAGATGATCCCGACGAACTTGTATCTGCAACGCTCGGGCCTCCAGCACTAGCCGATGGGCCAACGAAAGTACCGAGACGCTCGGGGCCCGGTTCGGCCCCAGTCCCTTGAGGCTGAGCGGGGCCATCCGAAGAATAAATCTCGAAAAAACCCATCAGGAACGTGAAATTCTGAATCGCTGTCGACGTCAAACCTGCACCAGAGACAGGAGCCGAGGCGGAGACAATTGTGTCTGGCGCCTCCCCAGGGCGCTCATGGTCCACGCCCGCGGCACTTCCCTGGCTCGGCTCACGCGTCGAAGTGACCAAGTCCCCGAACATGTCCTCGACTGCCTCCTGCTGCTTGATGCGCGATGCCAGTCTCGCCACGGCCCTCTGTGCCTTGGCTCTGCTGGATTTGGATCCTGGGACAGGTTGGGTTTGCGGCCGCGGAGCTTGAGGGGGACGAGCGGCGACGACAAGTTCTCTGCAAAGGAGTTGACAACCCGAGCTGCGAAGACGAACCTGTACCCCGCAATGCGGTCTCCAGGGAACCGCTAGCACCGCCGACAC